CACTACGAAAAAGAGCAGGAAAAGTTAGGTAATATTTCAGATTCTACAATGATTACACAGAATGGAATAGAATAACAGAGTTAGAAGGGACCTTGGAGGTCTTCTAGTCCAACCCTGCTTAGGCAGGAAACCCTACACCACTTCAGACAAATGGTTATCCAACATCTTAAAAACTTCCAATGTGGGAGCTTTAACACCTTCGGAGGCAAGTTGTTCCACTGGTTAATTGTCCTCACTGTTAGGAAGTTTCTCCTTAGTTCCTTCTCTCCTTTATTAGTTTCCACCCATTGCTTATTGTTCTACCCTCAGGTTCTTTGGAGAATAGTTTGACTCCCTCTTTTTTGTGGCAGCTCCTCAAATATTGGAACACTGGCTGTCATATCATCCCTAGTCCTACTTTTCATTAGACTAGAAATACCCAGTTCTAGCAACCATTCTTTATATGTCTTAAACTCCAGCCCCCTAATCATCTTTGTTGCTCTTCTCTGCACTCTTTCTAGAGTCTCCACATCTTTTTTACATCATGGTGACCAAAACTGGATGCAGTATTCCAAGTGCGGCCTTACCAAGGCATTATAAAGTGGTATTAACACTTCACGTGATCTTGATTCTATCCTTCTCTTTATGCAGCCCACATCTAGTTCAAACATGAAGTTTGCAAGCCTATGTCCTCTTACCAGGGTCTTACACTCAAATTTAACGAAGAATGCGCCTCTTTCTTTGTAAATTTGTTCAGCATATTTACTGAGCTGGTATGCTCAGCCAGACACACCAGGAGATGTTTAGCCATCAGAGAAGCCTCAAGGCGCCACATCTCAAACAGATGAGACAATATGCTTTAAATGGGGAAAAAGGAAAACTCAAGATGTCCCCAAAGGTGCTTTTTCTAAAAGCAACAGGGCTTCCTTTGTTTTTTCCCTGAGGACATTTCGCTGCTTCTCATCCGAGGAGCTTCTTCAGTTCTGAACGGAGCTGAACAGTTCTGAACTGAAGAAGCTGCTTGGATGAGAAGTCAAACACCTTCAAGGAGAAACAAAGGAAGTCCAGTTGCCTTTGGAAAAAGCACCCTTAGGACAACCATAAAATCCGGGTAAAATGAGGACCCGGATTGTTGTTGGGGGCAATATGCTGACTCTGTAAACCGCTTAGAGAGGGCTGAAAGCACTGTGAAGCGGTATATAAGTCTAACTATTGCTATTGCTATTGCTAAACCATGACCTGGATGACTGAGAATCTCCAGAGGAAGTTCAAGATGGAGCTCTTGATAGTAACCCTCTTGTTTCCCATGTCTAATTCTTAACATTTCAAACAGTTTCATAAAGTTTTGACCAAGTCACAGATCTCAAAAGTTACTGATCTGAATCAATATACTGTGGCAGAGTTTGGAAAGCCAATTGTTTTGTTCACGTTTAAATTTCAGGGGGGGGGAATTTCAGACAGGATCAAAATGCAGCGTTTTGAAGAAGGATTCTGACATCCCATTACCAAGCAAGTATCATGTTCCATTTCTGCTTTCACCTCCTACACATATTATCTTCTGAATAAATGCATTAAAATCCTTTTTTCTTTTAAAGAGGGAGAAGGAAAAACAAACCTGTGCCACTAGAACTTCATGTAACTGCACCCAAGCCACTTCCTGTGATATCATGCAATGCAAAGCAAAAACTTGTGAAAATGTTGGGCTCCAATCACACATGCGGGTACAATATGACTACTTCGAGCTCTTAAAACGAAGTGTGTTTTAAAAAATAAAAATAAAAAATCTCGTGCACAGGCTGCAGATGGGAGATATTAAATGCATCACAAATACAAAGGGATGCTGTAGAGCCGTGGTTCCCAAACTTGGCAACTTTAAGACTTGTGGATTTCAACTCCCAGCAGAGCTGGCTGGAGAATTCTGGGAGTTGAAGTCCACAAGTCTTAAAGTTGCCAAGTTTGGGAACCACTGCTGTAGAGAAGAAGAGCGATTGGCTAGGGAAGCCAATGCACAGCAAGGGAAGAAAAATTAAAAGATGGAAAGAAAAGCTTGGCTGGTTGCAGCGTCATACCTAAAGACTTGCAGACGGACGCAGAAGCTTCGTCCAAAAGTTTTAACTCGGCGCTGAAAAACAAAAGAAAAAAATATATGTTTATTAGAGCGGACGCCGTTGAGTTTGAGCTAATTCACCATCCATCACACAGAGCGAGGTTTCGATAAAGGAGAAAAGTTGTAGCTCAAGGTTGAAATGAGGAGCCAAACAACGGACTTGGAAGGGACTTTGGAGGTCTTCTAATAGAATTCTTTATTGACCAAGCGTAATTAGACACACAAGGAATTTGTTTCCGGTGTATAAGCTCTCTAATCTAATACAGGTAGTCCTCAACTACAACCACATTTGATCCCAAAATGTCTGTTGTTAAGGGAGACACTGGTTAAGTAAGTTTTGCCCCGTTTTACAACCTTTCTTACCACCATTGCTAAGTGAATCGCTGCCACTGAAGCTAGTAACATGGTTCTTAAGCGAATCTGGCTTCTCCGTTGATTTTGCTCGTCAGAAGGTTGCAAAAGGGGATCACGTAACCTCGGGACGCGGCAATGGTCATAAGTATGAACCAGTTGCCAAATATCCTGAGTTTTGATCACTTGAATCATGGGGCTGCTACAAAGGTGTGAAAAATGGTCATAAGTCACTTTTTTCAGTGTCGTTGCTAAGTGAGAGAGTTGGGTCAGTTGCCGGGCATCTGAATTTTGGTCATAAGGATGCGGCCAAAGTCAGTGGGAATCCAGATTCATTTAACAACCGTGGCATTAACTTAAAACAACTGCACCGATTCCCTTAACCGCTGTGGCAAGAAAGGTCATAAAATGGGGCAGCACTCACTTAACGAATGTTTTTGTAAGCTGAGGACTGCCTGCATTAGGACACATTTTAGACATGAGGAATAACAATTTATTCAGTATCACGCTGACCATGTTTAAAGAGAATGAAAAACTCATTGCAAGTTAGGCAGAAGACCAAGAGAAGAGGACTTCTGTAGCTCAGGGCTGCTCTTTTGAGCTTGGATGTTTACTTACCTACATATCATTATCCAACTAGGTAGCTTCAGCTAGCACTGATGATGTTACCTAGTGGGGTAATGAAACATCTGCAAGAAAATACTCCCCCTCCCCACTCACAGAGCACTCCACAGCAGAACCGGGAGACCCTCACAACAGTCACTCGTGCCCTTGTGACCTCAAGACTGGACTACTGCAATGCGCTCTACATGGGGCAGCCCTTGAAGAGCATTCGGAGACTTCAGCTTGTCCAGAATGCAGCCGCGCGAGCGATTGTGGGTACACCTCGGTACACCCACATTACACCTATCCTCCGCGAGCTGCACTGGTTGCCTATTGGGCTCCGGACGCGTTTCAAGGTGCTAGTCGTTACTTTTAAAGCCCTTCATGGTATTGGACCTGGGTACTTGAG